TGTGGGCGTGTCTTATGCAAATTACTAACACTTGGCATGCTGTCATTCATTTAGAATACTACACTTAAAATGTGTAGTCGTTACAATTAAAATGAGGTTACAAATAATTTCCTATGTGTGTGCATGCTACAAGGCAGAATTTGTTCTCCCGTGAGTATAAATACGAACAATTTATGCAACTATTAGTGAAACAGACCTAGTGTCATCAAGCTTCTCAAGATTTGACTCTTTTCTACAGTATTTAAAGGCCTTCAAATGTCTGAATCATCTCACAAGCCTGTTTGAAACAATCTGTACAATATAAAGCACATATGTATATATAAATAAATGGCACTTGATTTAAAAGGCCCTGGGTGGCTNAGGAAACATTGAAATCGCATCATATGACCCCTTTAAATGTCAGTGAGAGGAAACATCATTACTAATGACAGTTCAAAAGTTCTCAACCATGAAACATTGTGACATAATTGAATCTAAAATATAAAAGTATGACTTCTAGTCAATACTCACAATAATAAAGATATTTTAAGTTTATTGCTAAATATTGAGATGCAAATACACATAATTTGACAGTGTAGCAAGAGCGAGGCAACTGACTTGTGGCTTCTGCGGAAGCATATATAGCATAGATTCTGTCGGATTTAACTAGTAGGATGCTGTCTTAAAAGTGAGCCGCCTGTGTAGACAGTGAAGCGGCTCACTAGGGTTTGAAACAGAGCCACTGAGTCATGAAGATCTCACGTTTGGAGATGATTCTGTTCAGGATGGTCTGCAGCTCCGTCGTGCTGATCTCCATGTCCTAGAACACATATTCCCACGTGATTAACATATAAATGCATTGTAATATTTCATGTCTGCACACAGCAGTGGTTCATCAGTCTCTCACCATTCCAGCCAGCTGTCTGAAGAGACTCTTAAACCCGGCGTCAATCTGACTCTCGTCCAGACGTTGCTAAAGAGATCGAAAGAGAATATACTTATACATAAATAAATGTATACTTGCTGTCTTGCATGATCAAATAAGCTCCTGTTCCATCAGAAACCATCTATTAACCTGAATTCGCTTTACTAAATTTTATTATACAGTGTGTGTGTGTGTGTATATATATATTGTAGTAGGACATGTTTTTTAGCAGTAAAACACTCAAGCATGAGGTATATTGTGAATACAGCTGTGTGTAGTGTCTAATAACTCCCTTTAACAGAGAATATATTTGTAGTCTAGTGCAGTCGCTCTTATCTTCTTGCTGAACTATAGAAATGTGTCTCGATCTGATCATCTCACCTCCTCTGGAATATCAGCCGTGACTTTATCGTCCATTTCTCTGAAGGACACAAAGAGAATTACAATATGAGCCAGAGAATGATCTTTGCCTTCACTGGATGAACAGATCTGCTATCAGAGTTGAGTGTTTCCGCATTAGAACAAGCTCTATAGTGGCACTATTTAATCAACAAGGTCCAGAATTAATGCTCAGTAAAATAAGATTTCTTTAGAGTCGATGCTGCTAAGTAAATGAAACAATAAAAGAGATGATGAGGTCAGGTTTACTTTAGTTTAGTCTTCTGGGGTTTTTTGGAGTTTATGCATTTTACATCATAGAGATGGTTAATCAAATGGTTGATTTTTTTGTTAGGAAGCCAAAAGGTGGTTGTTGTTGTTGTTAATATTATTCATTTATTTTCATTTTTGCAACTTTGCTGCAACAGTTAAAAGCGTTAAACAATACAATTTTCATTAGGATAAAATTGAGGTATTTTAAAATATTTAAAATACAATTTAAATTATCTTCATATTATATATTCAGTTTTCTCAATTCATTCGCCATTAGCATGTGCAGTATAAACGTTGATTAAGTTCATTCTCAGCGGCACCAAAGTTAGTAAAACTATTTTTTTAAGTAAATACAACAACAGAAAAGAGATACTAATCAGCTCACCAATAACTCCTTCATGAATTGCTAAATAATAACTGAATTTGAGGAGTAAGATCAATAGTCTATTTTTTTGCCCCAAATATAAGCAAAATGAGCAGTTCCAATGAGACACAAAATAGTCTTAAATAAATGCCACAATTGGGAATCTTTCCTTAAAAGCACTTTTTTTAAGTTTTACCAACTCTAGAATGTAAAGTGACAACAAAACATCTGCAATGCAATAGTGAAATGTTTTATGTGACAGGCTAATTCATGATGTTCTTTAGTGGCAGCATGAACTATGCCATTTGCAGCACATATGCAATGGTTAAAACAGCTAAATTATTCAATATGCATGCAGGATAAAGTATATATATTTTGAGGAAATAATGCAAAATATGTGCATAGTCAGTGGAAAGTATTCCTGTTAACATCCTGTACATTTTGGACCCTGTTGAGAAAGCTCATGTTTAATCCTAACAGCTGGATCAGTCAGTGCATGCCAACTTACTCTGAGTTGGCAGGTTTCTCTGAGAAAACTCTGAGCACGAAGTCGGCCTCTTTCTGCGGCTCAAATGTGGAGGGTACAATGATGTACTCGCCGGCGGGTAGCTGGAAGCGTGAGCTCACCTCCCGCAGGTTAATGAAGAGCTCCGAGCGAGCACTGGACGCGTTAGTCAGGAAGAAATCCCGCTTCAGATGAACACCTGACTTCCCCACAAACTGAGCACAAGCACACAGCATTAACGTCCGCTTTAAGCTGGAAATCTGCCTACAAACACTTTCATGAGCCTCATTCATCAATAACATTCATGTTAAAACCTATTCTCAATTTACAAAACAGTGAGTGGTATTTACCAGAGTAGAATTTGTTGCTGGGGTGTTGCTATGTGGTTGCTAAGGTGTTCTGATTTATAGGTTGTTGCTATCGTGTTGTGTGTGATTGCTAAGGTGTTTTTAACAGTTTATAGGGCATCTACAGATTGTTTCCAGGGTGGTCTGTGTGGTTTCTAGGGTGTTGCTAGGGTTTCTATGTGGTTTCTAGAGTGTTGCTAGGGTTCCTAGGTGGTTCCTAGGGTGTTGCTAGGGTTCCTAGGTGGTTTCTAGGGTTCCTAGGTGGTTTCTAGGGTGTTGCTAGGGTTCCTAGGTGGTTTCTAGGGTGGTTTCCATTTGTCAGTGCAAAACTTCTTATTATGGGTTGCCAGGGTGTTGCTATGTAGTTGCTAGGGTGTTCTGATTTATAGGTTGTTGCTATGGTGTGGTTGCTAAGGTGTTTTGAACAGTTTCTAGGGCATTTATAGATTGTTTCTAGGGTGGTCTGTGTAGTTTCTATGGTGTTGCTAGGGTTCCTAGGTGGTTTCTAGGGTGTTGCTAAGGTTCTTAGGTGATTTCTAGGGTAGATTCTATTTGCCAGTGCAAAACAGCTTCTTATGAGTTGCCAGGGTGTTGCTAAGGTGTTTTTAACAGTTTAAAGGTAATTTATTGGTTGTTGCCAAGGTGTTGCTAAGGTGTTATAGGTTGTTGTTATGGTGTTCTGTGTGGTTTCTAGGTGGTTTTTAGGGTGTTGCTATGTGGTGCTCCCCTTTATTTGTCAGTGCAGAACTTGTTGTCATGAGTGCCAGGTTGTGAATATGTGGTTGCTAAGGTGTTCGGAACAGTTTATAGAGCTTTTATAGATTGTTTCTAGGGTGTTCTGTGTGATTGCTAGAGCATTGCAATATAGTTGCTAAAGTGTTCTGAATGGTTTATAAGGCATTTATAGGTTGTTGTTTCTAGTGCGTTGCTATGTTCTGAATGGTTTATAGGGCATTTATAGGTTGTTGATAGGGTGTTCTGTTTGGTTGTTAGGTGGTTTCTAGGGCATTGCTATGTTCTGAATGGTTTACAGGGCATTGATAGGGTGTTCTGTTTGGTTGTTAGGTGGTTTCTAGGGCGTTGCTATGTTTTGAATGGTTTACAGGGCATTTATAGGTTGTTGATAGGGTGTTCTGTTTGGTTGTTAGGTGGTTTCTAGGGCGTTGCTATGTTTTGAATGGTTTACAGGGCATTTATAGGTTGTTGATAGGGTGTTCTGTTTGGTTGTTAGGTGGTTTCTAGGGCGTTGCTATGTTTTGAATGGTTTACAGGGCATTTATAGGTTGTTGATAGGGTATTATGTTTGGTTGTTAGGTGGTTTCTAGGGCATTGCTATTTTTTAAATGGCTTATATGGCACTTACTGGTCGTTGCTATAGTGTTCTGAGTTGTTAATGGTTTCTGGGGCGTTGCTATGTTCTGAATGGTTTAAAGGAAATTTATAGATTGTTGATAGGGTGTTGGTAGGGAGATTTGCATTTTTTTAAGGATAATGAGTGGTATTTGCCAATGCAAAACTTGTTGCCATTATGTTGGGTGGTTGGCTGCTAGGGCTTTGCCATGTAGTTGTATTTTGAATGGTTTATAGGGCATTTAAAAGTCGTTGCTAAGGTTTTCTGTGTGGTTTCTAGGGGATTGCTATGCGGTTACTGAGATAGGTGGTGTCGCTATGTGGTTGCTAAGGTGTCCATTTATGAGGAACAGTTTTTAGGGCATTTATAGGTTGTTGATATGGTTTTGTGTTGTTGCTAGAGGGTTTCTAGGGCTGCTTAGTTGTTAGGAAGAGTTTATGGGCATTTATATGTCATTGCAGAGGTGTGTGTGTGTGTGGTCTCATCTGATAATCTCTGATCGTGATCCACTCACCAGAACTCTCCGTCCTCGCTGCGGTTCTGTAATCTGCCTCGGACAGAGCGGTCCACATTGTCCCATTCCCGAGAGCTGAACACACACAAACACACACGTCAGAACAGTCATCAATGAGGCATCAATCAGCACACTGGTGTGATTCTCACTCGTCACTCCAGGCTCCCGTCCACTCCACTTCACCCCACGGGTTCCTGATGCGCACCAGCTTAGTCATGTTTCCCCTGTACACCACCTGATCAACAGATCATTCATATTTCTGATTACAAATACATTTCCCTTTGGAATAACTTGCATTGATTAAACCCACACACTAAGACCAGAAACATCTATTAAGACAATCAAGTCAATTTTGATTTCATATTACATTAACATTCATGCATTTGGCAGATGCTTCTAGGTCATTCATACATTTCCTGGGAACTTTCAAAGAAAGACATGCTGCATCTAGAACCTGCTAGATAGATGTGTATAGTAAGTGTTTTTGTATGTCTTTGTGTTTAAGGCTCACCTCTTCCACTGCGGTCACGGAGTATGCGTGACCTTTGACCAGCTTCTTGAAGGTCACCGCCTCCTGGTCAAACTTACTGGTGATCTTGAGGACAAAAAGATGCATAATGCAGTCAGACACACAGTTGATCACCGTCACCAATACAAACAGGTTAATAACTAATATGATGAGCAAAGCTACTGAAAATTATTTTTGATAACTGAAATAAAGCGGAGATAAAATATAAATGTTGCCTTGGCAATTAACTTGGGTTTAAGTTGAAGCACTAAAATGACCAAAACTAAATGAATAAAAAAAAGAAAAGATAACTAGAAATATTTAAAAAATTAGAATTAAAAAATGGCAAAAAAAGCACAAAATCACAAATAAGCATGTTATCACAAACTAAAATGAAAACTATAAGTCATCTTTGATCATATTGATAATATTATATAACACTGATAACATCTAATGATATTAAATATTAGATTAAACATTTTACCTTAAAATAAACTGAGAAGTCTAGAGAAAAAAATAGAAATGTTGCCTTTGCACCTAAATAAATAAACCAAACCAAGTAAAACTTAAAAACAAACCTCATTGGAAATGTAACATAAAAAATAAAAAAATGACAAAAGCACATATGATTACTAAATGAAACTGAAAATATACAAACATAAAAGCCAATTCAAACTGTACATTTAAAAAATTCATTATTATACTAAAAATAACACTGATCCTAACAACATTTGCTTGTTTGTTAAAGTGCGTCTTATCTTTTACTACAAAAATGTATTCAAAGCAAAGTCAATGAAGAACAGAACAAAGTTTTCACACCTCATTCCAAACCCTGGGTTAGTAATTAAATATCTTTTGTAGGTATTTAGCCAAATTTTTTTTTTATTATTAATTTGCTTGTTAGACTATTGGACATGAGCTATACAAGTAAAATAAGTGATCTGTTTACAGTTTGTCCATGTAATTCTGCAAAAACAAAGCAAAAAAAAAAACAGCATGCTTATCATTACTGCACAAAATTTTTACGGTTTTCCTCAGAAACTAAATACAGCCCATTAAAGTTTCTGTGACTGTACAAAGCTCATGAATATTTAATAAGGCTGCTTCTAATTGGTTGTCTGTTGAAGAACATTCTAGCGCCTCAGTGTTGCATATAACACATGTTTGGCACTGCAGTTCAGGGTTGCAGGCTTCAAATCCTTCATAATTTAAAGGTTAAAAGCTAACTAATCCACCTTCAAACGTCTCCACCTGACTGTAACCCTGAGTTAAGCACAGTGTGAAAAGCAAGAATCGGCACTCACATCTATAGAGCAGCCCAGCAGTGATCCTCTCTCGATGGCGCGGCCGATGATGCTGAAGAGATCAGCGGGTGCTTTCTTCAACTCGTACATCTCTGTGACTCCTCCTGTGAAA